TAAATGGTGTCGCCTTGTTGATGATTCTGTTACAGTTTACACCATCCTGTCGCCAGTAATGTCTAACTGGTGTCGACTTGTTGATGATTCTGTTACAGTTTACACCATCCGGTCAGTAATGTCTAAATGATGTCGACTTGTTGATGATTCTGTTGTTTACACCATCCGCCAGTAATGTCTGTGTTGATGATTCTGTTACAGTTTACACCATCCGGTCAGTAATGTCTAAATGGTGTCGCCTTGTTGATGATTCTGTTACAGTTTACACCATCCGGTCAGTAATGTCTAAATGGTGTCGACTTGTTGATGATTCTGTTACAGTTTACACCATCCGGTCATTAATGTCTAAATGGTGTCGACTTGTTGATGGGTCTGTTACAGTTTACACCATCCGGTCAGTAATGTCTAAATGGTGTCGCCTTGTTGATGATTCTGTTACAGTTTACACCATCCGGTCAGTAATGTCTAAATGGTGTCGACTTGTTGATGGGTCTGTTACAGTTTACACCATCCGGTCAGTAATGTTTAAGTGGTGTCGACTTGTTGATGGGTCTGTTACAGTTTACACCATGCGGTCAGTAATGTCTGAATGGTGTTGACTTGTTGATGGGTCTGTTACAGTTTACACCATCCCAGTAATGTCTAAAATGGTGTCGACTTGGTGATGAGTTACAGTTTACACCATAGTAATGTCTAGCTGGTGTCGACTTGTTGATGGTTCTGTTACAGTTTACACCATCCGGTCAGTAATGTCAAAATGGTGTCCACTTGTTGATGATTCTGTTACAGTTTACACCATCCGGTCAGTAATCCCTAAATGGTGTCGTGACGTGTTGATGGTTCTGTTACAGTTTACACCATCCTGTCAGTAATGTCAAAATGGTGTCGACTTGTTGATGATTCTGTTACAGTTTAGACCATCCTGTCAGTATTGTCAAAATGGTGTCGACTTGTTGATACACCATCCGGTCAGTAATGTCTAAATGGTGTCGACTTGTTGATGATTCTGTTACAGTTTACACCATCCGGTCAGTAATGTCTAAATGGTGTCGACTTGTTGATGATTCTGTTACAGTTTACACCATCCGGTCAGTAATGTCTAAATGGTGTCGACTTGTTGATGGTTCTGTTACAGTTTACACCATCCGGTCAGTAATGTCTAAATGGTGTCGCCTTGTTGATGATTCTGTTACAGTTTACACCATCCGGTCAGTAATGTCTAAATGGTGTCCACTTGTTGATGGGTCTGTTACAGTTTACACCATCCGGTCAGTAATGTCTAAATGGTGTCGCCTTGTTGATGATTCTGTTACAGTTTACACCATCCGGTCAGTAATGTCTAAATGGTATCGATATATCGATTATTCTGTTACAGTGTACACCAGCGCCTCAGTAGTGTTTAAATGGTGTCGACATATTGAATTTCTCCAACAGGTTTAACTCTTTATAGGTCGTGTCTAACACGTGTCATTTGATTAATGATTCTCTTACAGATTCCGGGCAGATCTTAAAGAAGTCGGGAGGGTGATTGAGGAGCGAAATAAGACACGGAACCCGACCTATGACTATCTTCATCCCGACGCTATCCCAAATTCTATCAGTATCTAGCCGTCCCGGTATTACTGTTCATGAATATGTGAACTAGTTTGAACAATTAGCATTTACTTCAAATGGCAGAAGGTAATGTAGTGTACCGACGAGCACAGAGTAAGCACTACGTTAGATGTAATGGAAATGTACCCTGATGTGAGATCACTAACACTAGGTTCTACGCACTATTTAACAAAATACATAATTTGGATATTTTGTAAACTTTTGAAAGTGCATACTCACCAGTGGAAATCATTTTAAACACGAAGTCAGGTTCGGTATGCATTGGAAGAAACCATTATATCATTTCATGCATTGCACTGTTGGTGAGCCAACTGCCTCAGTGTCGTTCAACATGACAATGGTTGGGACATGAGGAGGACATGGTTGTGCACGAAGAAAATGAAAAAGAATTCGTGTCATGAAGGATAAGGGAAGTTCGATTGCGTTACTAACCGTTTCGTCTTTTAACGTTTTGCGAGTTTTGGCCTTACAACAACACGAAGTGTACATCAACTGATTAAAAAAGAAGAAGCACAGAAGCGCTAACTTTCCTGGTGACATTTGAAGGATGCGTCACTTTAATGCGTCACTTGAAAGAAGCTGAATGACGAAAGTCGGAAGTGCAGACATTGCAGATACTCGGCGCTGCCTGATATGTCTTGGGCATGGAAGCAAGAGGGTAGGACTCGGACACTGGGGAATGGCTGCCTCACGGCCTGTGATGGAAGAGTCGTCTGCGGCAGAATAAACGAAAATCTTGCACACAAATCGTGTTTATAGCGCATGTACAGTGAGTACATGGTTTGCACATAGAAACGTTTTGGCGAAGGTATACATTTGCCGTCTATCTTTGTCTCAAAGCTTTGCCTGATGGCGCAATGTTTAGATTACCATATTATTCAGTATGATATATTTCAGTATCGCAATGTGTAACTTTCTGGCATGTATTACTGATGTTGTTCATTTTGAGTTTCTGTCAGGGTGGACAACAAGTATACACAAGTAAAAAGACCTCAAACTTCGGTAAACTTTATCATGAATCGAGACGATATTTTCATTGTTTTCAAACGTCACACACCACACGATAAAAGTCAACCTCTGGATAATTTCGATATATGTTGCAAGTTCAAAATGAGAAATATGGCCATATATGCCAACACATGTATGTCAATCAGTCCATTTCCACTTCTGTAACCGTTATAAATATATTTGTTTTGATATGTCAATCCAAGTTTTAAAAAAGGAACGCAACCATAAAATATACGTTTTATATACACCAATGTGCGTATTGTTATTTATTTATGTAACGGTGAAGTTGCACATATGTTTTACAGGTTGAAAGGTTGGGTGGACCTGACACATTGTTATTAGTGTTTTGTATTTGCAGTAGTAATAGAACTATTTTTATATATTTTCGGAGCAAGCCCACAGAAACGCCTCCAGTGATAATGAACGGTGAATGTGTTGAGACAGTGTAGGAGTATAAGTATCTGGGAACCTTCACTGACTCTAAGCTGAACTGGATCTCTAACACTGAAGCTCTATACAACGAATGTCAGCAACAGTTTCATCTCATGCGTAAACCCCGAACTTTTAATATTAACCCATCTGTGATGTCATCGTTTTTATGTTGCATTTTCGGAATATTATAACATGTTCCTTCCATTGTTGGTACGGGTCTCTCTCAGTTGACCTCAAATCTAAAATAGACAAAAGTGTTAACACTGCAAGTAAAATAACTGGAGTCAAATTTGAATGTTTATCATCAATATATGAGCGGCAAATCGTGAATCAAGCTGTCAAAATTATATCTGACCCAACTCACTACTTAAATTCGGAATACAACGTCCTCCCTTCAGACTGCCGCTACAAAGTTCTAATTGGGAAAACTAAGAGAGCCCGTACATCCTTTATTCCAAGTACCTTATCTCTTTTAAACAAGTGTGAAAATGCTTAAATTCATGAATGTATGTAAATATGATATGTATTCGTATCTCTCTGATGTGTCAGTATCTGTTGATATAAGACAAATTCATGAAAAGGCAATATTATCCTTCTATTCTTTTCGTTTCTATTCGTAGTTCCAGTACTATTACATTATTAGTATCATCGTTATGTATGAACAAATTAGTACATCTCATGTTTTCTTCGAGTTTTATGTGCACGCAGCAAGGTATGGGGTTTTATATTCTGAATATTTCTGAAATTGCAAAATAAAACATCTTTCGAATGCCTAAAGGCTTTTGATCATCAATTGACCTCCTCTGTGACACCGAGGCGTGGTGTTTATATCACAACTACCATATACGAAGGAAAAATAAGATCATTTGAAGAAAGATGTTATGTAACTCGAATATGTCCATTATATATGACATACATGATTACATTCTAAGACTGTGTACATACACAAAGTTAAAATTGTACAGAAGACAGGAAATGGAACAAGGATTTTGGAGTAGTCTTATTTGATATTATACCATTTTTAATGCAAAATGATTTGTGGTGTTGTCATTACTCATTGTTTAACCGCTGACAGGATAATATCGAAATCTGTATGATTTGACATGAGGCATCGTAACACGCCCTTGAAGAGATGTGGTGTCAAAATTCAGTTCACAAATTCAGTATCGTGTGTGTCCACCATTGGCGTCGATGCGGGCTTGACAACGAAGATGCATAGACGACACTAAGCAATTGAAGAAAGCTTGGGGTATGTTATTCCATGTCTGAACGAACGCTTGCACAATTCTGCTAACATCATGGGTTAATTCTGGGCCTTACGAAAACGTCTCTCCATCCCAACGTGCTCGATGGGAGACTGGTCCCGAGAAACATATGGCCACAGCAGTACCTGAATGCTGTCTCAGGAAGTCTGTGCTGTTACGTCTCTTGAATGAACGGCTGCACATGTGACCCAAATATCTCATCCCTGTATCGCAGTCAGACTGCCATTGACAATGACATGGTTAAACACATATTTTGTCAATGATTGATGGTATGATGTTGCAATATATACATCTACTTTGTTATAATACACTCTAAATTTATGCGGCCATGCAGTGCTTCATTACAATGTTATATTTGTACTCCGAATTTCACAAGTGAAATATATTCCTAAGTCAGGCAGTTTGGAGATACGACTTATTGTGTCTTTGCACAGTGTGTATCGCAAGGACCTATTACGTCTTGAAAGCGCTGAACAGTACCAATACCCCATCCAAATATAGTCCCAGCATGGCGCCCTTGTCTTTATTACATGTGATCGTCTAGTGATCATTATATTATCAACAGTAGAGAGACATGCCACAAACAAATGACATGAATATCCATGGAATGGAGACTCTTTATTACAGAATTCAAGAAGACAGTTCGAACATAGACAGTTTTCCCAGGAGTAGCACCATAAACGCCTGAACATTGACTGGGTTTTCATTGTATGTAGCACTAACACTAAGTAGTTCTCTCGGCTACTCATAGCACTATAATGATATTTCACTTGTGAGGTCAGCAAATATCTGATGTTAAGTTGGAATCGCTATCAGATACAATGGAGCTGGAAGCTTTGACCTCGTAGGCCCTCAACTCTTTCAATCAACAGTTCTCTCAGATGGTCTTGTTGCTGTGATTTCAAGTGTTGGGCTCCGGAGTGAGACGTGATCAAGTGGTCAGCTGTTGGGGAACAACGGGGTAGAAGATCTGGCAGCAAGGGTGACGGAGCGTGGAACCATGACAGGGGGTTGCAGTAGGGGAGAGGCTGTTTCGGATGAGAGTATGGCGGTTTACTGACTGTCTGGTGCTACAGGGTCCACGTCGGGTCTTGGTACGTCCTCGGCGAGTACGACGATTCTGAAACCACCCCTGGAAATATAACAAAAGAATTTGGTGAGCATCATTCAGTTAAACATCTTCTTCATTGCAATTGAATTCAATTTCTAAGTTGATTTACACAATTATTAATTAAGTCATAACTACACACCTGTATTTTCGACTCGGGGACCTCGAGCTCTTGTGAAAGATTCTCTCTGATGTCAAGATTTGGGTAGGGATTCTTTTCAAAGATCTCCTCCATCTTATCAAGCGCATGTTGTCTGTACATGGTACGTCGTCTTTCTGGGACCGTCCGGCATCTTGTTGAACTGGATGTTCGTGGGAACTCTGAATGAAAAAAGTACATTGTAGAAATGCATTGGGATCAAGTAACATCAGGATATTATTCCCACACCTTCAGCGAACCACATCTATCTTAATATCAAATGCTGTCATGATTTGAAATCCCACTGAACTCAATTTGACGATTCAATCGATTTAATCCTTAATTTGCTATGCGTGAATACTAACCTTTCTGCAAACCAAGGATTGTGCTGATCGAGTGGTCGGAGTATGATTTTGCCATCTTTGAGAACGAGTCAAGTTCAAAGGTTGCTGATTCATGGGTGATTTGAGGTGAGATACACTCACGTCTTTTATACCATATTAGAGTTGACGGGTGTTGATTGAGTTCAGTCAATCAATTCCACTGCAGTTTGGCTTACAGATGGTTTTGGAAGGCGCTCGATATCAAAGTGATTAAAAGTGAACGGTTGAATGAGACCAACGCACGCGAACAAACAGCCTTTTGCTGCCAAAAGATTGACATTAGCTGTTTGCTGTGGGGATTAGTTTAAATGAAGAAGCCACGATAATTAACAATTCGTAGAGTAACATCTTCTTGAATTCTTGTGAAATGTTATTTCTGTAATGCAATGTATCTGTCAAAGATTCAAAATCCCTTTGTTTACCAATTCGTTTATACTACTGCCTTATCCCATTAAGCCGTTTATATTCTTCTGTCCCAAGATCAACCTCTTTGTGTACTTAACAGCCATCTCCACGTCATTGTAACACCACCACAATCCACTTAACTGTATGTATAAACACTACCTCATCTTAGTGTAATGCCCTTCAATTTCTGTATATCGTTATCATTTTTGTTGTAAACCACATCACTCAAAACTTTCACTGAAATATCCAACAAAGCGCCCCTAAAAGCCTCATATGTCGGTAAACAAGACCAACATATTCACACAAACTTCATAACACCTGAGACACAGAGACTCATTTAAAAACGTAACAAATGGCATGCGACTGCTAAAAACATACTTCATCATTATATGATACATTAATATAACTTAGTAGTACTTAGGTTTACTCATGTGTTTATCAATATTTATGAGATATTTATTCCAAACAAGATTATCAAGATTTGAAGCAAAGTTAAACCTTGACATTGACATTCGTAAATCAATTCGTAAACATAATCGTAAACATAAACTTAGCAACATACTGCTTGTTTACCAAACCGGTTCCTCGTGTGGAAATATATATGTTTAAACCAAAGCAAGTAACCATAAATTTGAAAGAAAGTTGAGAAATATAGTAGTATATGTTATAAATATAGAAACTTACTACTCAGGCAAGATGCGTCTTTATGGGAGGAACAATCCAAAAACTAAGGACAACGGAGTATCTGCAGGTAAGCAATTACAAGCTGGTTAACTATATATCTACACGATCTATACATTCACTTCCAAACGTATAGGCTCGCCGTTGTATACATAAATGCTTTCATCAAACCATACACAATTGTCCATTTACATGCATACACACACAGATATTTACAAGTTCGCATTTGCATAGGCTTATTTATAAGGTAATATGAATTATTCATACACATGCAACTTACATGTATCTTCTGCACACATAATACACACATTACAAGAATGTATGCTACACACATACTACACCTATTACAAGAATATGCTGCACATGAACTACACACATTACAGTGAATCTGTGCTATGCTGTGCACACCACATAATGCTTATGTGCTGTGTTACAAACACATCACACATGTACCACATACTACACAATACTTATATACTATGCTGCACAGATCGCATACAATTTATTATGCATGTATATTATACTACGCTATGCTGTGCTAAGAAGCATCAATTCATAACCACGATTTCCCCCTCGTTAGAGGTGCAAGCAAATGAGTCTTCGTATGTGCACGCACACCATTTTAATGAGATGGTAAATTAAGCAAGCAAACTCATGGTATGCATACAAATCAAGTGAGTATAAAGGGACTCTTGTTATCGTTGGATGAAGCTCAATGTTTACAAATTACATGTTTAGACGATCGATCAATCGTAAGTTCGTGTTTTCTGTAGTAAACAGACCCGTTACGTAGCATGAGGACCACGGACATGCTGTTCGTGCATACCACACACTCACGTGCTACACAACATTCACAGTACGTCTGCCGGTAGCATCTAGCGATGGGTGACACTGAGTGTGGGCATGAAGTGAGACGTTGAGAAATTCACGTCCGCAAATTGTTACATATCTAAATCGTGACGAGTATCACCATGTTTTCGAGGTTCATATTGTTCGTTTATATCACAATGTCTCTGTAAATAACACAGTTTAATGCACAATCATGACGATGTTGACATATATGAGTATAGAGTCGCAATGACTATCGACAGTTGATGAGATCATGCAAATGCATTATGGGTTTCCCAATCAGTTTATCTCATGTTAGTAATGGTGTTCATTTGTCTTGACTCAGACTAATCACCATCTTGAGTTTAGTCGACTCGCACACTTCATCGAAGTGACCGCTATTGGCGACCTTTCGAACCGTACCGTCTAGCATCTTAATGAGGATGACCCCACTAGTTACCCATGTTGCCTCAGCTTTCTTATCCACGACGAGCTGGTGGCCCCTTCGAGCTAACGCTGCTCGGGGTCCGGTAAGATCTTCAATGATGAAGACTCTACGGACTCCAGGGTTTTTCACATATTTGAGTTTTGATCTCGACTTGAGGACAGCACGTTTCGAGGCGTTGCTAACGAATCGAACAATTATAGGTCGTGGATTGTCCAGTGGAGTGGCTGGTCGTCTGGGAACACGATGACTAACATCGATGTCACCAGGGTTGAGATTTACGCCTATTGATTTAGCCATGTCTAAAATCAACTGGTCAGTGTCCTCATTCTCGGACTCAGACAACCCTGAGATTCTCATGTTATTCCTTCTCGAGTACTGTTCACTTCTGTCTAGCTTATTGGTGAGAGTCTGTATTGCCTGTTCTTGCTCGATAAGTTTGGATGACGTGAGTGACACTTTCTCCTCAAGAATTTTGTTTTGAGAGATGATCTGTTCCATTTCTTGACGAAACATAGGCCTTATCGCCTCAGCGACTTTAGTGCTTATTGCTGTGAGAACTTCAGTGTTTTTCAGAGCGTTTACCACTTCAGAGATAAGAGAATCAGACGTGGGGCTATTAACAGACACATCTAAACTTTCGGCACTCATCATGGTAGAATTGTTAGAAATATCCAGATTTGGACTATTAGGACACTGACGTTTCAAGTCAAAGTCAATCTCCGAATCTGGTGATATGAACACTTCGTCTCTGTTACGTTTTGTGGTGAGAGGCGTACTTGAGATAGATTTCTCCATGCGCTATGCGTCAATGTCAAATACATAGGAAATCGTATGTACTCACTCAGTGGCGTTGAGATAACTCCGTGATATGTCCAAGCAATCCAAGCGAATTACATGCACACATCACAAGGCGCAAGAAGGCAAGGAGTTAGAAGCTCATACTCGTGTTGATGGCGAGAGCCACGATTTCCAGGGATCCTTTACATTCAGTCAATCCAACATTTATCGTCCAAACTACAAATCACCTTCTTCCAATTTTCACATATAATGTACTTGGAACCATTTGGAATGTGTAGTTTGGAGATTTAGTCGTAAAAGTTCATTCCTACACCATAAAAGCGCAGTTGAGCAGTCAGCTCTCCGTACCACGTCCGACCACCATCGTGACGTGTGACCATTTCTGTTGAAATCTGTTGAAACTTTAGGCACTAGATAGTTTTGCAAAGCATCGGGAAACATTAGATAGCATTTGAAATTCATTGCAGTTTTTTGTAATGTAAATTGTGTATTGTTCAATTTGAACTGACATGCTGACATACCACGGATACCGATCGGAAAAACGTTGATAAATAGCGTAGCCTATGTGAACGGGCGCTCATTAAATCTCTGAATCATCATCAGCATTGTCATCGGCTCACAATGTACAGGTATAGTTTGGTCTGTTTGTACTCAGGGTGTTCCCGGCAGTGGTGAATTCCGATACCTGAATGACCTCATCCAGACATTGACGTCGGTCAACTTCACCTGCAGCGTCAAGCACGCTGCCGTCTATTTCTCTCAGTACGACTACTATGCCTTTCCCCCTCCAGTATAGATTATTCAAGTCCACTACGTCCCCGTTGGATACCGTTAAATTCATTTGTGCTGTATAAACGTTTTGAAATAATGGAATCGGTATCTAACAAAGGGACATGTAGTCATCTACTTACAACAAACTTTGATGTATGTGACATTATTGCGCGTTATTGTTAGTGTCTATTGTCGTTAAACAAGTGACCCTTTCACGTTTGCAGAGACATAGACATGCAGCATTGTAAATAGAAATTACTATAAATCAATTTTGGCCACCAAACATATCACAAATTTCTAGCATGCCAAGTCGCTGCATAGGGCCCAATTTCAATCATTTGTTGTGAAAAGTAACGAAGTTACATCAGAAACAAATTCCAAGATGTTCGCTCGGACCATGTTGAATCCAAGACCAAGAACAGAGCTTGTTTACTATTCAAAAACATCTGATCCAGCTTCTTCAAGTTTGTTAGTTGATAAGTGCCCACTGAGAACAACCGTGGCATAGCGAGATAGAAAGAATTTCAGAAGGTACATGCTTTTCAGTTATTAATTATTCTCCTGAGGGAGAGCTAGTATTACCATTAAGAACATGTAATCACCATCTACCTGCAGAGTGAGTGAGTGGGTATGGTTTTACGCCGTTTTACAACATATATTTACAGCAACTGAACTCTGTGTGGCAGGACACCGAATATTATGATATTCACAGTTATAATGAATTGATATGTTAACATTTTGAAATGTCATGTTTGTCCAGGTGTCTAATTACTGATTTGCCTACAGATTACCATTAAGTCTTTTTTTCCAGTCCCCACTGAAGATGCCTGATGTCCTGCACGCTCTGCCAGACAAGAAAACAACCTTTGATATTATGGTTGTCACCAAACTGCTCAGCAGCAAGGGTGTCAAGAGTCTGGGGGACTTCGAGGTTCAATATGTGTTTGATCCAAAAGCGACTGTTGTTCAAGAGGAGTGAGTATTGGATGAGATCATCCTGTCAGTAATGTCTAAGTGGTGTCGCCTTGTCGATGATTCTGTTACAGTTTACACCATCCTGTCAGTAATGTCTAAATGGTGTCGCCTTGTCGATGATTCTGTTACAGTTAAGACCATCCTGTCAGTAATGTCTAACTGGTGTCGACTTGTTGATGATTCTGTTACAGTTTACACCATCCTGTCAGTAATGTCTAAATGGGGTTGACTTGTTGATGGGTCAGTTACAGTTTACACCTCCCGGTCAGTAATGTCTAACTGGTGTCGACTTGTTGATGATTCTGTTACAGATTACACCATCCTGTCAGTAATGTCTAAATGGTGTTGACTTGTTGATGGGTCTGTTACAGTTTACACCATCCGGTCAGTAATGTCTAAATGGTGTCGACTTGTTGATTGGTCTGTTACAGTTTACACCTCCCGGTCAGTAATGTCTAAATGGTGTCGACTTGTTGATGATTCTGTTACAGTTTACAACATCCGATCAGTAATGTCTAAATGGTGTCGACTTGTCGATGATACTGTTACAGTTTACACCATCCGGACAGTAATGTCTAACTGGTGTCGACTTGTTGATGGGTCTGTTACAGTTTACACCATCCGGTCAGTAATGTCTAAATGGTGTCGCCTTGTTGATGGTTCTGTTACAGTTTACACCATCCGATCAGTAATGTCTAAATGGTGTCGCCTTGTTGATGATTCTGTTACAGTTTACACCATCCGGTCAGTAATGTCTAACTGGTGTCGACTTGTTGATGGGTCTGTTACAGTTTACACCATCCGGTCAGTAATGTCTAACTGGTGTCCACTTGATGATGATTCTGTTCCAGTTTACACCATCCGGTCAGTAATGTCTAACTAATGTCGACTTGTTGATGATTCTGTTCCAGTTTACACCATCCTGTCAGTAATGTCTAAATGGTGTCGCCTTGTTGATGATTCTGTTACAGTTTACACCATCCGGTCAGTAATGTCTAAATGGTGTCGACTTGTTGATGATTCTGTTACAGTTTACACCATCCTGTCAGTAATGTCTAAATGGTGTCGACTTGTTGATGGGTCTGTTACAGTTTACACCATCCGGTCAGTAATGTCTAACTGGTGTCGACTTGTTGATGATTCTGTTACAGTTTACACCATCCTGTCAGTAATGTCTAAATGGTGTTGACTTGTTGATGGGTCTGTTACAGTTTACACCATCCGGTCAGTAATGTCTAAATGGTGTCGACTTGTTGATTGGTCTGTTACAGTTTACACCTCCCGGTCAGTAATGTCTAAATGGTGTCGACTTGTTGATGATTCTGTTACAGTTTACAACATCCGATCAGTAATGTCTAAATGGTGTCGACTTGTCGATGATACTGTTACAGTTTACACCATCCGGACAGTAATGTCTAACTGGCGTCGACTTGTTGATGGGTCTGTTACAGTTTACACCATCCGGTCATGTAATGTCTAAATGGTGTCGCCTTGTTGATGGTTCTGTTACAGTTTACACCATCCGATCAGTAATGTCTAAATGGTGTCGCCTTGTCGATGATTCTGTTACAGTTTACACCATCCGGTCAGTAATGTCTAACTGGTGTCGACTTGTTGATGGGTCTGTTACGGTTTACACCATCCGGTCAGTAATGTCTAACTGGAGTCCACTCGATGATGATTCTGTTCCAGTTTACACCATCCGGTCAGTAATGTCTAACTAATGTCGACTTGTTGATGATTCTGTTCCAGTTTACACCATCCTGTCAGTAATGTCTAACTGATGTCGACTTGTTGATGGTTCTGTTACAGTTTACACCATCCGCTCAGTAATGTCTAACTGGTGTCCACTTGTTGATGATTCTGTTACAGTTTACACCCTCCGGTCAGTAATGTCTAACTGGTGTCCACTCTATGATGATTCTGTTACAGTTAACACCATCCGGTTAGTAATGTCTAACTGGTGTCCACTTTTTGATGATTCTGTTACAGTTTTCACCATCCGGTCAGTAATGTCTAAATGCTGTCGACTTGTTGATGGGTCTGTTACAGTTTACACCATCCTGTTAGCAAAGTCTTAATGGAGTCGCCTTGTTGATGGGTCTGTTACAGTTTACACCATCCGGTCAGTAATGTCTAACTGGTGTCCACTCGATGATGATTCTGTTCCAGTTTACACCATCCGGTCAGTAATGTCTAACTAATGTCGACTTGTTGATGATTCTGTTCCAGTTTACACCATCCTGTCAGTAATGTCTAACTGATGTCGACTTGTTGATGGTTCTGTTACAGTTTACACCATCCGCTCAGTAATGTCTAACTGGTGTCCACTTGTTGATGATTCTGTTACAGTTTACACCCTCCGGTCAGTAATGTCTAACTGGTGTCCACTCGATGATGGTTCTGTTACAGTTTACACCATCCGCTCAGTAATGTCTAACTGGTGTCCACTTTTTGATGATTCTGTTACAGTTTTCACCATCCGATCAGTAATGTCTAAATGCTGTCGACTTGTTGTTGGGTCTGTTACAGTTTACACCATCCTGTTAGTAATGTCTTAATGGAGTCGCCTTGTTGATGGTTCTGTTACAGTTTTCACCATCCGGTGAGTAATGTCTAAGTGGTGTCGACTTTTTGATGATTCTGTTACAGGTTACACCATCCTGTCAGTAATGTCTAAATGGTGTCGACTTGTTGATGATTCTATAACAGTTTACACCATTCCGTCAGGAATGTCTAACTGGTGTCCACTTGTTGATTGTTCTGTTACAGTTTACACCATCCGGTCATGTAATGTCCAAATGGTGTCGCCTTGTTTATGGTACTGTTAAAGTTTACACCATCCGGTCAGTAATGTCAAAATGGTGTCGACTTGTTGATGGGTCTGTTACAGTTTACACCATCCCGTCAGTAATGTCTAAATGGTGTCGACTTGTTGATGGGTCTGTTACAGTTTACACCATCCGGTCAGTAATGTCTAACTGGTGTCGACTTGTTGATGGGTCTGTTACAGTTTACACCATCCGGTCAGTAATGTCTAAATGGTGTCGACTTGTTGATGGGTGTGTTACAGTTTACACCATCCGATCAGTAATGTCTAACTGGTGTCGACTTGTTGATTGGTCTGTTACAGTTTACACCACCCGGTCAGTAATGTCTAAATGGTGTCGACTTGTTGACGGGTCTGTTACAGTGTACACTAGCGCCAGTACTGTTTAAATGGTGTCGACATATTGAACTTCTCCAACAGGTTTAACTCTTTATCGGTCGTGTCTAACACGTGTCATTTGATTAATGATTCTCTTACAGATTCCGGGCAGATCTTAAAGAAGTCGGAAGGGTGATTGAGGAGCGAAATTCGACAAGGAACCCGACCTATGACTATCTTCATCCCGACGCTATCCCAAATTCTATCAGTATCTAGCCGTCCCGGTATTACTGTTCATGAATATGTGAACTAGTTTGAACAATAAGCATTTACTTCAAATGGCAGAAGGTAATGTAGTGTACCGACGAGCACAGAGTAAGCACTACGTTAGATGTAATGGAAATGTACCCTGATGTGAGATCACTAACACTAGGTTCTACGCACTATTTAACAAAAATGAGCCAACTGCCTCAGTGTCGTTCAACATGACAAAGGTTGGGACATGGGAAGGACATGGGTGTGCACGAAGAAAATGAAAAAACATATCGTGTAATGAAGGATAAGGGAATTCGATTGCGTTACTTCTAACCGTTTCGTCTTTATAACGTTTGCGAGATTTGGCAACAACACGAAGTGTACATCAACTGATTAAAAACGAAGAAGCACAGAAGCGCTAACTTTCCTGGTGACATTTGAAGGGTGCGTCACTTGAAAGCAGCTGAATGACAAAATTCGGAAGTGCAGACATCGCAGATACTCGGCGCTGCCTGGTATGTCTTGGCCATGGAAGCAGTAGGGTAGGAATCAGACCCTGGGGAATGGCTGCCACACGGCCTGTGGTGAAAGATATGGCAGAGTCGTCTGCGGCAGAATAAACGAAAATCTTGCACACAAATCGTGTTTATAGCGCATGTACAGTGAGTACATGGTTTGCACATAGAAACGTTTTGGCGAAGGTGTACATTTGCCGTCAGTCTTTGTCTCAAAGCTTTGCCTAATAGCGCTATGTTTAGTCGGTATTATTCAGTATGATATATTTCAGTATCGCAATGTGTAACGTTCTGGCATGTATTACTGATGTCATTCATTTTGAATTTCTGTCAGGGTAGACAACATGTACACACAAGTAAAAGACCTCAAACTTCCGAAAACTTTATCGTGAATCGAGACGATATTTTCATTGTTTTCAAAAACACCACACGATAAAAGTCAACCTCTGGCTAATTTCGATATGTTGTAAGTTCAAAATGAGAAATATGGCCATACATGCCAACACATGTATGTCAATCAGTCCATTTCCACTTCTGTAACCGTTATAAATATATTTGTTTTGATATGTCAATCCATGTTTTAAAAAGGAACGCAACCATAAAATATACGTTTTATATACACCAATGTGCGTATTGTTATTTATTTATGTAACGGTCAAGTTGCACATATGTTTTACAGATTGAAAGGTTGGGTGGTCCTGACACATTGTTATTAGCGTTTTGTATTTGCAGTAGTATTAGCACTACTTTTATATATTTCGGAGCAAGCCCACAGAAATGCCTCCAGTGATAATGTACGGTGAATGTGTTGAGACAGTGTAGGAGTATAAGTATCTGGGAACCTTCATTGACTCTAAGCTGAACTGGATCTCTAACACTGAAGCTCTATACAACGAACCCGTGAAGATCCGGGATAGAATAGGTCTTCAGCAACCCATGTGCTTGCCATAAAAGGCGACTATGCTTGTCGTAAGAGGCGACTAACGGGATCGGGTGGTCAGTTGCGCTGACTTGGTTGACACCTGTCATCGGTTCCCAATTGCGCAGATCGATGCTCATGCTGTTGATCACTGGATTGTCTGGTCCAGACTCGATTATTTACAGACCGCTGCCATATAGCTGGGATATTGCGGAGTGCGGCGTAAAACTAAACTCACTCACTCTATACAACGAATGTCAGCAACGGTTTCATCTCATGCGTAGACCCCGAACTTTTAGAATTACCCCATCTGTGATGTCATCGTTTTTATGTAGCATATAACATGTTCCTTCCATTGTTTTTATTTTATGTTATTGTTTTTAATTGGTTCCCAAGATTACAATATTACAGATATACCAAGCCATGATACGTACGGCTTAAAGTAATATGGCTACATGCTGTACAGGTGAGATATTTTTGTATTAATATATTTATAAACATGCATATTTCATTAAATAGATAATGTACAGATAATGTCAGGTACAAGTCAGTGCTGGGGAGAGAAGGCTCCATCTATGATGGAAATTATTTATTTTATTATTTTTTGCTGATATATGTTTTTCCACAAAGAATATTTCTTTTAGAGTTTTTATATAGAAAGTTAGATTTGGAAGCATATTTTTAATACTGCATAAGTGAATATGTCTCTTTGCAGAAATGATGATGTGATTTAGTCATCTATTTTCATGTTGAGTTGACCAAATCATGTTTTTTTGATAATTTGAATGGATGTGGATAATAATTGTTAAGCCAAATTTGTAGGTTTATCCAAAATGTTTGAGTCTCCTGACATTCCCAGTACACATGACACACGCTCTCATTTACATCTTTGCAAAAACAACACAAACTGTTGTCGTTTTTTTTCATTTTGACCGATTCCTTTTTTGTGTAAATATTACCTTGTAGAAATCTATATTGAAAGTCTATAAGCTTTGTATCTTGCAATCCCTTTCTATATACTGTAAATATATTTTTCCAATCAAAGTCAGTTTCAGTAAATAAAAGCTGCCATTTATTACAAATGTTTGGATATTTATTATTACAAATAAGTTTATCGTAAAAAGTTCTGCAGCCTTTGGATGCTTTTACTAAATGTATCTGGCATTGGTTTACATTCAAATTACTGACTGGAATAGAGAGACAGTGCTTTAAAGTATATTTCCAAGATTCACGTAATATGTTCAGTACATATATGAAAACTAAAAAAGTGCCTTTGATATGATAATTTTCTTTTAAAGATTCTTTTGATAGTAATCCATTCTCATCACATATATCCCTAATATTCATAATCCCTTTCTCTGCCCAATTCTTTATAAAATATGTAGAGTTTTTGAAGTTGTGATTGAACCATAGTGGTTGGGATTGAATTTCATTAATGTTATTTGGGTCAACATAATGTTGTTTGTGAAATAGTTTCCATGCTTTTAGCACATCATGCCAAAAAAAGGGTTTTCAATCTCAAGAAAAGTTTCAGAATTAGCTCCAAAGTTGAATATGTCTTTGACTGACTGAGTTTTACGCCGCTTTTAGCAATATTCCAGCAATATCACGGCAGGGGACTCCAGAAATGGGCTTAACACATTGTGCCCATGTGGGGAATCGAACCCGGGTCTTCGGCGTGACGAGCGAACGCTTTAACCACTAGGCTACCCCACCGCCCCGAATATGTCTTTGAAAGGTATATTGTATGGGTTTTTATTTTCACTTTTTAAAAAATATAATCTTAAGGTTGATCTTCAAAGCGTCAATAAATCTGCTTGTATCAATCATTCTCAATCCCCCATCTTCATATCTACTTTTTATTACACTCCTCTTTATTTTATCATTTTTATCATTCCAAATGAATTTAAAAAAATAGTTTTTCAAGCGAAGTAATAAATTCTGCTGGAGGGTTGGGCAAGGAATTGAAAATATGAACTAGTTTGGAGATTGCTAGAATGTTTATTACTGTTTTATAAATGTATTTTTCTCCAAGATGCTAAGAGTCTATTAATTTCTTCCAGTCTCTTTCTGGTGTTGATTACCCATAGGCTTTCAAGATCTGGACTAAATTTAATACCTAATACATCGAATTCACCCGTTACCCATTCAATTTCCAGGTCATTACATATTTTATCAGTAGATTTAGACCCAATCCAGATTGCTTTTGATTTATCTAAATTTATTTTCAAACCTGACATTTTATAAAATGCATTAATTGTGTCGATAGCATGATATAAACACCCCTCCGTTCCATCAAGAAATAGTTCGGTATCATCAGCGCATTGATCCAGTTTATATTCCTTATCATTGATGACAATACCTTTAATGTTTTCATTGTTTCTTATCATACAACCAAGAACCTCAGCTACAAAAAGAAAAATGTATGGGGAAAGTGGGTCTCCCTGTCTACATCCTCGTTCATTAGCAAATAATTCAGTGAGATTACCATGTTGGATGACACAAGATGTTGTTTCAAAAGTCAATATATTTATCCATCTTAACATTTCGGGGCCAAATCCAAATTTATGTAAAACTAGGTTGATAAATCTTTTAGAACCAGTGTCAAATGCTTTTTCAAAATCAATCAGAATTAGCAAGCCAGGAATGTTTTGTTTCCTTGTTTCGAACATTATGTCATATAGTTGTCTTGTATTTTCGCTAATAGTCCTACCTGGTATAAAACCAGTTTGATTACAATGAATAAGATTATCTAAAGTAGCTTTTAATCTATGTGCAATACAGGAGCTGATAATTTTAAAAATAGCATTGAGTAAAGTGATAGGCCTCCAGTTTTTAAGTAATGTTCTGTCTTTATTGGATTTTGGAATACAGGTGATGACGCCCCTTTTCATATTTAAAGACATTTCATTCTTAGTTGATGCATTTTTAACGAATCTATAAACCCACATTTTTAATTCTTTCCGAAAAAATTAAAGAAATCAATAGGAAATCCATCAATCCCTGGGCTATTATTATTCTTCATCTTTTAAACAGCATTGCTAATTTCCTCCATACCGATTTCTTTTTCAAGATTGTCTCTTAGTGTTTTGTTAAGAGTTGGAGTTTTTATATCATTCAAAGAATGATTCAAGAAGAATTCCTCCTTATTCTGTTCCTGAGCAGCATAGAGATTTTTATAAAATAACTTCATTAAGTATTGATTTACTGTCTGTAATTTCTTTGTTATCATTAGTTACCAATTTATTGATTGATTTTTTTGCGAAATTTCTATTTTCCAGATGGCAGAAACATTTTGAAGTTTTTTCTCCTTCTTAGTACCAAAGAATTCTGTTTCGGATTTGTATTCCTTTCATTTCCCCAATTTTGATTTCTTCCATTTCTTTCTTATACTTTGATAATTCACTAAGAAGTTCTTCATCTATGTTTTGAAAGTTTTTTCTAATATTGTCCTCAAACTGTTTTATTTTTAGTTCCAGTTCCTCTGTATTTTTAGCTTTTGTTTTTTATGTAGGGTGAGAAAGATATGGTCTTTCTTCGAATTTTCATTGATAAAGTTCCTAAGAATAAGGAATCAGAAATAGTAAGATTGATGTGATCAATGTTTTTGAAATGATAAGTTTTTTCTGTTGAATATTCTTGAATAGTATCATTTAGGACAGTTCTGACTATAGTACCATATTCAGGGTTTAACAGGAAGGAACTATTAAACTTCCAGTAGCCCCTTCCTCTTTCCTGATTTAAAGTGTTCGAAAAGGTTAATGTTATTGTTGCGTGATCACTTTTATAGCCTGGCAGAATATCTGAATCCAACCTTATATCGAAATTGTCTTCTGATACAATAAAGAAATCAAGTCTGGCTTGTTGTCTTGTTTTTTTTCCACCAGGTGTATTTTCTAGATTTACCATTAAACTTTCTCCAAATGTCAATAAGATTATAAGTTTCTATAAATTCTAGTACAGTATTTCTCAATTTTGGGTTGTTTACATGCTTGTAATTCTCAAGGTCAATTGTGGGGTCAAGCACCAGGTTCCAGTCTCCAACTATTGCTAAAGAATCATTTTCAAAATTTAAAATATTTTCAAATAGATTAATATAAAATTTAGGATCACCATTATTAGGACCATAAGATTAGTTGGTGTTATTCTTTTATCTTCTATTGAAATATCAACAATAATATAATTGCAGTTCCTTCCATTGTTGGTACAGGTCTCTCTCAATTTTCTCAAATCTAAAATAGACAAAATTGTTAACACTGCAAGTAAAATAGCTGGAGTCAGATTTGAATGTTTATCATCAATGTATGATGGCAAGTCGTGAATCAAGCTGTCAAAATTCAGGCCGCCGCTATAAGTTTCCAATTGTGAAAACTGAGAGAGCCCGTACATCCAAGTACCATATCTCTTTCAAATGTGAAAATGCTTAAATTCATCTCTCTCTGATGTGTCAGTAGCTCTGTTGATGCAAGACAAATTCTATTCTATTCTATTCTATTCGTAGTACCAGTACTATTACATTGTTAGTATCATCGTTATGTATGGAATAATTAGTACATCTCAGGTACGCAGCAAGGTATGGGATTATATATTCTGAATATCACCTGAAATTGCAAAATAAAACATCGTTCGAATTCCCTAAAGGCTTTTGATCATCAACTGACCTCCTCTGTGACACCGAGGCGGGATTTTCTATCACAAATACCATATACGTAGCTAAAATAAGATCCTTTGAAGAAAGATGTTGTTATGCAACTCGAATATGTCAAATATATATGGCATACATGATTACATTTAAGACAGGAAATGGGCCATTGACTTTGGAGTCGTCTTATTTGATATTATGCCATTTTTAACGCAAAAAGATATGAACATGATTTGTGGTGTTTTCATTAATCACTGTTTAACCGCTGACAGGATAATATCGAAATCTGTATGATTTGACATGAGGCTTCGTGACACGCCCTTGAAGAGATGTGGTGCCAAAATTCAGTTCACAAATTCAGTATCGTGTGTCCACCATTGGCGTCGATGTAGGCTTGACAACGAAGACACTCAGGCAACACTAAGCAATGGAAGAAAGCTTTGGGTATGTTATTCCATGTCTGAACCAACGCTTGTCTCAATTCAGCTAACGTAAATGGCTGATTCTGTCTCTCTCCATTTCATCCCAAGCGTGCTCGATAGGAGACAAATGGCCAGAGGAGTACCAGAATGCTGTCTCAGGAAATCTATCACAACACGAGCGACATGTGGATGGGCATTATCTTGCTGAAACGTGCTGTTACGTCTCTTGAATGAACGGCTGCACATGATACCCAAAGATCTCATCCCTGTATCGCAGTCAGACTGCCATTGACACTGACATGGTTAAACAAATATGTTGCCAATAAATACTGGTGTGATGTTGCAATATAAACATCTACTTTGTTATGGTGTTCTCTAAATGTATGCGACAACGCAGTACTTCATTACAATGTTATATATACATTCACAAGTCTTATGGTTAAATAAAGCAGTTTTAAGATATGTATCGCAAGGACCTTTTACGTCTTGAAAGCGCTGAACAGTACCAATACCCCATCCAAGTATAGTCCCAGCATGGCGCCCTTGTCTTTATTACATGGTGATCGTCTAGTGATCACTATATTATCAACAAATGAGAGACATGCCACAAACAAACGACATGAAAATCCGTGGAATGGAGACTCTTTATTACAGAATTCAAGAAGGCGGTTCGAATATAGGCATTTGTCCCAGGAGTAGCACCATCAACGCCTGACCATTGACTGGGTTTTCATTGTTTGTAGCACTAACCCATACGTAGTTCTCTCGGCAACGGATAGCACTTTAATGATACTTCACTTGTGAGGTCAGCAAATATCTGATGTTAAGTTGGAATCACCATCAGATACCGTGGAGCTGGAAGCTTTGACCTCGTAGGCCCTCAACTCTCCAATCAACAGTTCTCTCAGATGGTCTTGTTGCTGTGATTTCAAGTGTTGGGCTCCGGAGTGAGACGTGATCAAGTGGTCAGCTGTTGGGGAACAACGGGGTAGAAGATATGGCAGCGAGGGTGACGGAGCCTGGAACCATGATAGGGGGTTGCAGTAGGGGAGAGGCTGTATGGGATGAGAGTATGACGGTTTACTGACTGTCTGTTTGGTGCTACAGGGTCCACGTCGGGTCTTGGTACGTCCTCGCCGAGTACGACGATTCTGAAACCACACCTGGAAATATAACAAAAGAATTTGGTGACCATCATTCAGTAAAGCATCTTCTTCAGTGCAATTGAATTCAATTTCTAAGTTGATTTACACAATTATTAATTAAGTCATAACTACACACCTGTATTTTCGACTCGGGGACCTCGAGCTCTTGTGAAAGATTCTCTCTGATGTCAAGATCTGGGTAGGGATTCTTTTCAAAGATCGCCTCCATCTTATCAAGCGCATGTTGACTGTACATGGTACGTCGTCTTTCTGGGACCGTCCGGCATCTTGTTGAACTGGATGTTCGTGGGAATTCTGAATGAAAAAAGTACATTATAGAAATTCACTGGGATCAAGTTACATCAGGGTATTGTTCCCACACCTTCAGCGAACTACATTTGCCTTAATATCAGATGGTGTCATGATTTGAAATCCCACTGAACTCAATTTGACTATTTAATCCTTAATTTGCTATGCGTGAATACTAACCTTTCTGCAAACCAAGGATCGTGCTGATCGAGTGGTCGGAGTATGATTTTGCCATCTTTGAGAACGAGTCAAGGGGCAGGGTTGCTGATTCCAGGGTGATGAGAGGTGAGATATACTCACGTTTTATATACCCTATTGGAGGTGACGGTTGTTGATTGAGTTCAGTCAATCAATTCCACTGCAGTTTGGCTTACAGATGGTTTTGGAAGACGCCCATTATCAATGAGATTTAACGTAAACGGTTGAATGAGACCAACGCACGCGGACAAATAGCCTTTTGTCGGGCAATGTTTGTTGCCAAAAGATTTACATGAGCGGTTTGCTTTGGGGATTAGTTTAAACGAGGAAGCCACGATAATTAACAATTCGTAGAATAACATCTTCTTGAATTCTTGTGATATGTTATTTCTGTAATGCAATGTATCTGTCAAGATTCAAAATTCCTTTGTTTACCAATTCGTTTATACTACTGCCTTATCCCATTAAGCCGATTATATTCTTCTGTCCCAAGATCAACCTCTTTGTGTACTTAACAGCCATCTCCACGCCATTGTAACACCACCACAATCCACTCAACTGTATAAACACTACCTCATATTAGTGTAATGCCCTTCAATTTCTGTAATCGTTATCATTTTTGTTGTAAACCACAGCACTCAATACTTTCACCTAAAAATCCAACAAAGATCCCCTAAAAGCCTCATATGTCGGTAAACTAGACCAGCTCATTCACGCAAACTTCATAACACGTTCGTTTCAAGCGTCCATTCGGAAATAAAGCAGCATTAAGATCAGCACACGCTGAGAAATACTTCAACTCAAGTCAGTAAGTTGCAGGCCACACCTTCAGAGTCAGGCACCTAATGAGTTCAGAATATCACTATTAGTTGAATTATTCATTGCGCCGTTACCGTATAAAGCTGTTTTAACATCGTATTCTTGAATATAAAAATGCTTCATTTGTTTTATAGTTCCGACATATAAAAAGGTAGTAAATGACGTCTTCATTATAATGGCCACATGGACATTTGGCAGTTTCCGATAAATGTCGATTGTATCTCTCTGCGTTTACATCATAACAGCCGTGCTTGAGGCGACAATCCATGATTTGGCAACATCTAGTCCCAAACTTTACACCAAAGTGATTGTGAGTACATGCATTTTGCATATAACCTTTTCAAAGACGGCAGTAAAATAAGTGAGATGCAACCAGGGTCTAGAGTATCAATGGATGGATTGATACATGTAGATAAAGGTAAATAGTCTTTATTTGCTTGCACTTAAGAGGACTCAGGCCTGTAGTACATGTAAACTGACTATGTTGTTATTAGGCAGTAGAGAGTACATTTGTCCTGTGTAAAAAGGCCTGGTATAGGAACACTGACAACTTTTCTAGGTGTTCCTTGCTAGAGTAGGTTATCAGAGATATAAATTTATAAATATTGTGATGTTCAAACTAATATTTCTTAATACACTTATTTCTTAAATTGTGGTAGGCTGGACAAACACAAAGAAAAAATGTTCATCTTCAATTAGATTCAAGTCACATATGTTACATATTCTATCGTCTTTTTTTATTTCAATATATCTACCTGTTTCTATTAACAAATCATGGGAGGAGCAACGAAATTTTGTAAGCGTGATTCTATATTTCCTGACATTCAAAGATGATAAATAGGTTTCATTGTATATAGATTGCTTAAACATTCTGTAATAGAAACATTTGTTTGATACAGATAATTGGTCAAGCCACGTCTGGAGATACATATCTTGTAACCCTTGTTTAATGAATATGAGAAAAGTTGGATGCAAGTTTATGCACTGTTCTAGCCATATATTACCGAAACCAGTAGAAAATAGTAAATTTTAGACATCTGTGACCCAATTACGTTTTCAATTTCTATCGTACAAAACCATCATATTGTAACATTTTATGGGTAATCTGTAAGATGTCATATTTACGATTTTTAACCAATATTTTACTACTTTCATTTTAGATTCAACAAATAATGGAAACCTACCACATTCACCATAAACCATTATGTTTGAAGTAGTACTTTCAACCCCAAGAAATCTTTTTATTGCATATAAATGTACTTTTTCTAGTGTATCAAATGTTTGTAGTCCCCAAACCTCAGAACCATATAGATGTATAGGACTAATCTTAGCATCGAAGATTCTAAAATATGATTTGTGTGACAAGTCACGTGCACCTAGAATATAAAGATATCTAATTATACCAATTAGTATTTTCGTTGCTTGCATCGATGCATTTCTGACATGTAAGGACCACGATAGGTGGTTTGTTAAAGTAAACTCCTAAATATTAGTAAGACGTAGTTGTTTCTATCATTTCACCTTGTTGGTACCATTTCTCTTTTGCAGCAAGTTTACCTCCATTCTTGAACACAATTATTTTAGTTTTATCTCTATTTACGGCTAGTTTCCATTCATGACAGTATGTTTCTAATTAATTTATTTCTGCTTGTAGTCCGCGAATAGTGCTAGTGCTAGAGAGATGTATGATATCATCAGCAAATAATAGAAGAAATAGCTATACTATATCTCTATTTACGGCTAGTTTCCATTCATGACAGTATGTTTCTAATTAATTTATTTCTGCTTGTAGTCCGCGAATACTACTAGTGCTAGAGAGATGTATGATATCATCAGCAAATAATAGAAGAAATAGCTATACTACACCTAGGCATTATTTTTCAGGAAAACCTCCTCTGGCATTCCCACATTAATGAAATGATAAGGAAAATTAGCCCTATGATTAACTGCCTTCGTAGTTTTAAATATAGACTATCACGCAAAACTCTCGTAACAATGTATAAATCCTTTATCTTACCTCTGTTTGACTATTGCTGTCATCTCTGGGACAATTGTACAAAGGAACAGTCCTTGTCACTAGAAAACCTTCACTTAGATGCCTTACGCACAATATGCGGTGCAGTTAGAGGTACAAGCCATGCGAAACTATATCATGAGACAAACATGACTTCCTTATCGAAACGGAGAGAAACATTTAAATTAACATTATTTTACAAAATGGTAAACCATATGGTTCCTGACTATCTTTGTGATCTTGCTCCAGGGAATGAATGAATGAATGAATGAATGAATGTCTTTACTTCCTCCAAAAGTATATTCGAAGATTACATAAACAAACATCAGTTAGTTACATACAGTGTATATCTACATATGATATGTACAAAGCACGGATATTTACAACAATGATAGTTCAGAAAGTATACATCAAGGAATTCTTTAAAGAATAGATATAGTTTGAAAAATGTAGTATGATCGTTTGCCATGCTGTTTCATGAAGGCCAGGGATGTGAAGTTTTGCACCACAAAACAGTACAAGGGCATCTTCATCATCAAGCATTTCAATTAAGACATATAATTCTACGTCCAGTAGGTCAAGTAGCGTCATATAAAAGTTATTTCTTTGGTTCATTACAGATTCACAATGCAAAATGATGTGGGCATCGTGGTCATAGCAGTACTTATTACAAAGCATACATTCTTTTGAGAATTTGGCTTTAGAACCGACTAGTACAGCAAGTTGTATATTGTCTTTATATTCTGGGTACAGATACATTAGAGTGTAAAGTCTATGTAGACTCAGTGTTTGATGGATTACAGCATATCTGGACATATTTTCTCTAATGGAGAGTCTCAATTTCCATTGAGCCTTATAGCGAAATATCGTTGGGTATTTTCCACCAAATCAATGTTTTTGCTATATAGCGTAGGCATGGTTTCACAACCATAGAAGCTTGTAGGTAAAACCATTCTTTTCCATATATTAACACATGTAACTGGATGTAAGTCAGTACTGTTAAGACCCAATGAGCGCAAGGAATTTATGGTTTGCCTGGCCTTTTGACAGTTAGCGAAAACTCTATCTTTACAAGACAGATCTGATGAGAGTAGGATACCACCATATTTTACTGATGGACTTATATTAATAGAGGTGTCGCAAAAAGGAGAATGTGAGCTCAGGACAAGATTGTTTCCCTTCCGAAAAACTACAACAGTGCTTTTCGATGCCTTATATGTTAGGCGCCATCTGGAAGCATATTCTGAAACAATATGAAGTGAATTCTGCAGCCCAGACGGAGTGGTACTTAACAGTGTCGTATCATCGGCTAACAGGACTGATGGTACATCAATACCATATACACATATACCATTGTTACTAAGTCTTAATTCAGTTAGTAAATCGTTTATGAAGACAAGGAAGAACCATGCAGACAAGACTCTACCTTGCCCTACACCTTGTTTTTACTTCAAATGTGTCTGAGCTTATTTCCGTTGTACATTACAAAGAAGAGCTGCAGGTGTAGCTGTGATATAGCAGATTCCACATTTTACCCGTTATACCCAAATTGTGGAGTTTTAAAAATAGACCGCCATGCCAGATGTGATCAAAAGCTTTCTCATTATCGAGAAAAGCTGAGAAAACGTGGGAGCCACGCTCAGCATAATATGTTACGCAATCATTGAGCATGAACGTCGACATAATTGCACCGTGTTCTTTTCTAAATCCAAACTGTAGAGAGTCTGGAAAGTGGGGATTAATATGGCTTATATAACATTGTAGACGTGACAGTAATAGTTTTTCAAATAGTTTCCCTATACAGGAGGTTAGGGTGATACCTCTGTAGTTTTTGGGATCACATTTTGCACCTTTTCCTTTATAAAGTGGAACAATCATACCCAGTCTAAAGATATTGGGAAAGTACACAGCTTTCATAATTGCATTGTATAAGACGCAGAGCTTATCGACCAGTACGTCACCTCCATAGATAAGA